CTCTGAGCTCTCTCTGGGTCTCCCTGCAGGACAAGAGTGAAGGGGGGCACCCTTAGGCAAATCTGAAGTTCAAGGGAAAAAAGGGGGCGGTCATTCAGTCACTCAACAAACACTCCATCAGTATCCAGGTCAGACCTGGGCTCCTGCTCCGAGCGAGTTCACAGTCCAGTGGAGGAGGCAGCGTGCCCTGTCCTGAATATGGCGTGTACCCTGGAGGAAGGCTTAGGGGACAGCGTGGGCACAGGGGCAAAGTGACAAAGAGTATGGATCCAAGAAGGCCTCCTGGAGGAGGTGGCTTGTTGGCTGAGACTGGATGTCTGCGTGGGAGTTCCCAGATAGACCTCATGGGACAGGCCTACCATGGTCCGCTCCACAGAATGCCTCCCCATCCGATTCTCCACTGCCACCCCTGCCTCCCTCCACCCATTCCTCACTCAGGGAGATCTCAGCATTCCTCTGCACACAGCCCCCCAGGTGCTCCTCACCCCTTCCCAATAAAACTCCAAGATCAGGCCGCTGCTCCCTCTCTGACTCATCTCCTGCTCGTCTCCCCTGCACTCCCTCTGCCCTGGCCACCCTCCTCGCTGTCCTCACAACAAACCCGGCTGCTTCCTGTCTGACAGCCTCTGCTGTTCCCTTCTCCTAAAATGCTTTTTCTCCTGGCCTTGGCCCTCAGGGGTCTACTTAGACATCACCTCAACAGAGGAATCTGCCCCAAGCCCTCTTCCCCTCTAGAGCCCTTGCACCCACACCCTTTACGAAATAGCACCCTTTTTTACCTGCTTCAGAATACTAGGCAACTTCTGAATCCTCTATTTTCTTTTGCTTCTCCATTTTGAATGAAAGCATTTGAGAGCAGAGGATGTGTCTGTCTTGCTCACTGCAAAATCCCAGAACAGTTCCTGGCACTCAATAAGTATTCACTGAATGAATGCAAGAATGAATGAATGAATACATTTCAGGTCATAAGAGCACCATGAGAGGGGAGGGAGAAGGTAGCATTTGTCCCAGGCTCAGCTCTGGCCAAGGCCCATTACCCAGGGGTCTCTTATCCCCCTTTAGCCCCCAGCCTCCCTACACACACACACACACACACACACACACACACACACACACACACAACCTCTCTCTCACACATACACACACTCTTACACACGACGTGGTCTCCCTTGCTATCCCTAAGAAGACACTGTAGGTGGGGACTGCTAGGATTGGGGCTCCCACCCTTCATGGCAGCCAGAGCAGGGGTGCCGGCTGGGGCTGATCGGGCAGCCAGTGCCCTCCTGAGACAGGCGGGGGCCAGCTGGCCAGCCCCAAGGCTCACTGGGAATGGGGTTCCCACTTCAAGCCCTGAGCGTCCATACAGCCCCATTGGCAGTTCTCAGTGACCAAGTTCTCAGGGATCTGCTAGTAAATGAAAGAAGTCTTCTAACTGAATTCCAAGAGGGCAGCTGGGCAAGTAAGAGAGACTTGGCGAGGCTGTGGCAGACAGAGCTTCTGGCGAGCTGGAGGGTGGAGTTCGGGATACAGCAGGGCCTGTGTGGCCAGCGGGCCCTGCCCCTGCCTGCTCCCCCACAGCCCCAGTGCATCTGCTTTGCAAAGCCTTCCTCCCATGCTCATCACCTCACAGCCAGAAGGGAGCAGAAGTAGGCACCCAAATCCAAGTCCCCATTCGCCAACACCAGCTCTAGGCAGCCTCGAGCTGGGCAGGCCTCAGCCACATGCTTGCTTCACCTGTGATAAGAGCTATAGAACCAGTGAGGACAGGTCCTAGATGCAGAGGGGGCAAAATGGCATGTGTGGTTTCCTGAGAGAGTGAGGTGGGGGAGTCCTCTTTCAGAAGAAGTGACGATAGAACTGGGCCCTGAGGAGAAGGTAGGAAAGTGCCGGCAGGGAGAAAGGGGGCATTAGGGAGTGGTGGTGACTGCAGTGAACTAGAGTCCGTGCCCTTTTGAAAACATCATATATCATTTGACACTGAGCATGCGCTGCTTGCTGTTATCTTTGATAGACAAGTACAGGGTTTCATGTCAAAGGGAAAGATAGCTCATGCTAGTGGCCTGCGACGTGGAGAGGGAGAGACCCAAGGCTCTCACTGTGCTTTAGTCCAAGTGAGAGACCTAACTGGGACGGTGAGAGGGGTGGGCAGATTGCAGGTGCCGACCACAAGGGTGGAGGTCATGTAGTGGGCGAAGGGGCCAGAGGGAGGGGAAGCCAGCTCTGGCCACCCAGGAAGCTTCCAGCAGCCCCAAGAAGGGCTGAATTTACCCCCACCCATGGCCTTAGAGTGTCCTTGCCAGCGGTCATAACTGCAGCCTGGAGGGGGCCCCTGGGTCCACCCAATAAATGCCCCCCCAGGGGGTTGGGGAGGGGAGACCATGCCAGCGTGGTGTGGCGGAGGCCCAGGAGAAGTGAGCTATGTCCCTTATTGGTCACAGTACATTTATTTTTCATTAGCAGTTAAATGCAGACATGAGGGATTGTGCTGGGTTCAGCGGGCAGCTGACACAAGCAGTGCTTGGCGCGGTGGTCGATAGGGAAGTCGGTGGGGGGGGTCCATGTGCCCTCTTCCTGCCCATACCCCCAGCTGGGACCCCTGCCTACCCAGCTCCCAGCCAGTAATCAGACACAGGCCATCACACTGAGCCTCTGTGAGGCGAGGCATGGGCAGGCCTGGAGGCTGACACTGAGGTCTTGCATGCCCTTCTGGAGCCTGTGATGCCTGCCCCCAGCCCCCTGTGGGCCCTGCTCAGGGGTCAAGCTTAGCCCTCCTCTGTGCAGCCCTGGGGTCTGCAAAGGTGCCGTGGCTTCCCCAGGAAGTGTCTAGAGAGTCTCCTGGACCTACCAGGCCCACACTTGGGAGCCCACCCTTCTCCAGACCTTGGGAGGTCTGAGCCCAGCTCAGCCTTGCCCCGGCTGAGCCCGCTGCCTGGGTCAGGGCGGCTGAGTGACAAGTGAATGTCATACAAAAGGGTCAGGATGTGGGCCCCCCAGAGTCCAGGGCTGGAGCTGTGGGGCTGGGTAAGTGACTTCTCCCTCAGGGCTCAGATTCCACATCTGTAAGATGACTAGATGGCTCCTCCCCTCTGCCTGCATCCCCACCTTCCTCAGCCTAAAACAGAGACCCGAGGACTGGCAGAGCCCCATGGAGGTGGTTCAGGATGGGGCAGGGCGGGACAAGGGGAGCTCGTCTTCCCAACTGCAAGCATGGTTCCCTGGCAGCTTAGCCTTCATTACGGAGCAGCAGGAAGTGCAGGGGGTAGCAGGGAGAGAGGCTGAGGAGAGGCCAGGGCGGGAGGAGGAGGGGTGGATGAGCCCACTGCTGCAGACACTGAGGGCAAGACACCTGCTGGCTCTGTGCCTCAGTTTCCTCATCAGTCCCCACCCCTGAAGAGATTGCTAGGAGAGTTACTGAAGGAGCATTGTCAGTGCAAAAGCACTGGGTACGGATAGCAGCCAACATTTACCGAGCACTGTGCCTTTTTTCACTTCATCCTCATGATAGCCCTAAGAATTGGGTACCATCCCCCATTTTGCAGGCAAGAAAACAAGCAGGGGTTAACTGAAGTCACACCAGGTTTCTCAGCCTCTGCAGACATTCCCAGCTCACCCACCCGGTGCCTACAGGACCAGGCACAGATCCCTTCCCCAAAATCACAGTCTTGGGGTGGAGAGGGCAGACTCCCACATTGGAAAGAGAGGGTCCCTGTGCAAGCAAGAGAGAAGGGGCAGCGTGGATGGCCCCTGGGCCTGAGGAGCCAGGCCTCCCTGTTAGAAGCCCTCCATGGGTTTTGGGCTGCCCGTAAGGAGGTAGTGGAGCCAGGAGGCCGACTGCGTGAGGCACCTCCAGACTCCACCACGGGCAGACAGGACCTCCATAGATGTCATAGACAACAAAATGGGTAACCTGCCTAAGGTCACCACCACTAGCAGGGAGCAGATGGGTCTCTGAAGCCCAAGCTTTTCCCTCTTTATGTCCAGAGCCCCCTGTTGGTTGTGTGTGCTGGGGGAAATCACTGCAGCCCTGAGAGAAGCCAGGCCGTCAGGGGCCTGTTTGGTGGGTGTGGAGGCTGAGGGTGCCCCCACTCTCCATCCTCCCACTCCCCCCTCACCCCGCCCCTCCCCACCCTCTCAAGGGCCCTGCTGGTCGAGCAGACGGTCAGACTGCTTTGGGGGGTTACCTCCACCAAAGCCTCAGAGCCAATTACCTGTGTAATTAGCAACAAATGACTTGTGGGATGGCTGTGGTTTGCAGTTAAAATTAGAAGGAAACCCATATTCTGGTCTCCTTGAAGGGTGGGACATGGCCCGGGCCCCTGAGGCTCCCAGACACACCCTCCTGGCTCCCACCCACCCCGGGACCCACCCAGCAGTCCAGGCTCACCCCAAGTTGCCCCTCCTGGGGGCCTCTCCTGTAGCACTGCCACCAACACCCCTCACATCTGCACTCGTCACAGCCTCCTCCCCTCCTTCATACACTTGGTATTTTCTCAGCACCTACTACATGCAGGGGCCAGGAATGGGGAGCAACCTGGAAGCAGCCCCCGAGGCAGCCAGGGCACCAGAGGAAGGGACTCCTGCCCTCCCTAGCCCCGGGCTGCCCAGTGCCCTCTCCCTCCCTCCCTCTCTCCCCCCAACCACCCCGACTCCCCACCCCTCCGCACCACCCCCCCGGGGGCCTTCCAGGGCAGTGGGCTGCCTCACCAGATCCCTAAACTTCCACCAGCGTGGTAATGAGCCCTGACCACTGCTGTGTGCTGGCACTTCCATATTTGTCTCCACAGGGGGCTGCTTCTTCCCCTGCTTTACGGAAGGGGACACTGAAGTTTAAGGGAGGCATTCAGCAGCCCAGCCTGCTGGGCTGGAAGTGGCAGAGCCTGGCCCCACTGGCTGCCTCCTCTTGGCTCGGTCCCAGCCCCTGAACAGGCAGGTAGCCCCGGGAGCGCCCCGCAAGTCCAGCGGAGGCCCCAGCTCACCTGCCCGCTTTGCTTCTGCTGCAGGGGCCCAGCAGAGTGCCACAGTGGCCAACCCGGTGCCCGGCTCTAACCCAGACCTGCTTCCCCACTTCCTGGTGGAGCCCGAGGACGTGTACATCGTCAAGAACAAGCCGGTGCTGCTGGTGTGCAAGGCCATGCCCGCCACGCAAATCTTCTTCAAGTGCAACGGGGAGTGGGTGCGCCAGGTGGACCACGCGATCGAGCGCAGCACAGATGGGAGCAGCGGTGAGACCAGGCTGGGGTGCCAGGCGGGGTCACTCGAAGGGGGAGCGAGTCTCAGACTCAGAGGCAATGGAGGCCCAGAGAGGGGCCTGCCATTGCCCCTGCTGCGTGCCTGTGAGCCGAGGCCAGGGTGAAACTAACCACTCTGTGTGCACCACCCCAGGTCCCCAGGAGAGGCAGGACTCCCGTCACCTGGGACCCACTGTGTACACACCAAGGCCTTCCCTGGGAGGCCCACCCTCACAAGACTTCATCACTTGGTGGGGGAGTGAGTAAAAGGGAAGCCCCCCAAAATGCCCCAGGGAGCTCTGTGGGTTGGGGGAGGGGGCGGGACCCTGCCGCTGCATCTGAGCCCAGGCAGACCCAGAGGCAGCCTGGCAAGTGGTGCCAGCAGAGAAAGGTTTGAAAAGAGTGGATCCCAGATGATGGAAGAGATCACGGACCTCACATTCCGTGATTGTTTTCTTTGTGCATCTGTTGGTTCATTCGTTGGTCCATTCGTTGGCACGTTCCCTGAGCACCCACCCTTGAGCTGGAGACAGAGCCCCACGGAGTTGGGGGCAGCACAGTGACCTCTCATTGAGTTCTGGGATCTGTGGCTGCCCAGGGAGGCTCCTCGGGGAAGGTGATGTGTAAACCTGGTCAGGGCGAGAAGAGGAGAAGGGCGTCCCAGGCACCCCCAGAAAGGGACACAGCACAAGCAAAGCCCTGGAGGCAGATGGGCCGGCGTGCGGGTCAAGGCTTAGCAGGGAGGGTGTGGAGTGTGTGCAGCGGGCAGTGGTGCCATCCGGGAGCCTCACCCGTCCGGCTCTGGAGTGAGGTCACAGTCCTATGGGATTTCAAGCTACCGAGTGACATGACCAGAGCTATGGGTGACACTCGGAGCCAGTGTGGGGGGCTGACAGGAGAGGCAGACCCAAGAAGTGCCCCTTCTGTGGGACACCTCATTCCCCACCTCCAGCCCTGGCCTTAGGCAGTAGGCAATGGGGATGGGGGCAGAGAGCCATTGTTTGGGTTCCCGTGCTCCCCGAGAGCAGGCCCGGCAGAGCTAACAGCCTCTCCTCCTCGCTAACTGGACCCCAGTTAAGCTCATTTCCTACTCCTTTGCCTTGACGCTTTGTGGAGCCCACACACATGATGAGCCCTCAGGTTAAGTCCTGAGCCCCTTCCCACTGAGGCTCAGCCAGCCTGAGACACACAGCCCACAGACCCTGTGCCCAGTATGGCCACTTGAGTGAGACCTGAGTCACAGGGGCAAGCAGGTGGCACCCAGAACAGCTCACACTGATGCCAAGGGCAGGCAGGGGGCCACAGGCCCAGAGGGGTGGCCCATGCTCCTGGTGGGAGGGACTGGGCAGCCCAGGAAGGATTCCCGGAGTGTGGGGGTGGGGGGGGGGGGATAACATCCAACCTCAGTCTTAAAACCAGCTGGAATGACTGTTTATCAGGCCAAAGGACAAATGCAGGGAATGGGAGGCTGGCCAGAGGCCCAGGTTTGGAATGGCAGAAGTGGGGGTCGAGGGGGTGGTCGGCGAGACGAGGAAGCTGCAGCCACACTGGCACTGTGGGAAGCTGGTGCCAGGCAGAGGGAGACTGGAGGAGGGAGCCCTGCCCTGGTGAACTCGGAAGCTCTCACAAGAACCCAGATGTGAGCAGACGAGCCCCGAGTTTCATCAGCATGTGATTTAGTCCTCAGAGCCAGCCTGTCCTATTACAGATGGCTCTGACTCATCCAGGGCTCCAACCAGGCATTCTGGTCCACAGAAGTCACGCCCCATCCTCCCCTGCCAGGGTCACCAGGTGCTGGTCTTCTTCCCCCCAAGTGTCAGGCCCCTAGTGAGTGATTCTTGCCCAGGTCCTTGAGCCCTGCATTGTCCTGGCCTTACACACACCTGCTGCTGGCAGCGTCCTCCTTGCAGTCCTCAGGTCTTAACTGAGCACCTGCTCTGTGCCAGGCCTGGGTGAGGTGCTAAGAATTTAGCCCACAAGGCTCTTGGTGCAGGTGATCCAGCTCTGCCTCCCACTCTCAGGAGGGGAATGCATGGGGTTGGTGCCCTCTGCAGCAAGCCCCCCTTCCCTCCCTGGGCCTCAGTTTCCTCATCTGTAAAATGGGGATGAGGATGGCCCCCCTTGGTGGGGGAAGCTGTGAGATCTCTCACACCCAGGTGGAGCCCAGCCCCAGGTCTTTCCTCTCTCCCTACCCCATGCCTAGAGCCCAGCACCACTTTGCAGCATTATGAGTCCTCCTGCTGCTGAGGTAGGTCCCCCAAGGAAAGGACAGGTGAGGAAGAGCAAGTCACAGCCAGTGACCTGTCTCCCCACAGCCTTGAGAGCCTGTCCTGGAACCTCTTGGAAGGTGCCAGGCCAGCCCCAAACTGCTCACACCTCCCCTTCCTGGCTTCCCACATATACCCCTCCTTGTCTCCTGCCATCACGAGGTCTGGAATCCATGGCTTGGCTGAGACCCAGGCTCTTGCCTACATAGCAGTCACAGGCCAGGCCAGCCCTCAGCCCACATTCCCCAACAGGCTCTCCTGGCCTTGCTCCCTTCAAAGCCAGGCAGAGAGCAGAGTTCACGGGGACACGTCCCCATAGCCACCAGGGCCCCCTCCTGCTCTGAGCATCCAACCTCAGGCCTCCCATGGCCTGCAAATCTGAATTTTCATTGATCTTATTGACTTCTCAACCCAAAGCCATTGAGTGCTTTGAGGCAAAGAGATAGGCTTCTCACTTACCCACAAACAGATGCCCAGGCCATGGGCGGCACCACCATGCTACACACAGACCCAAGACCCTGAGCCAGGAATGCTCTGTGGTCAGGCAGGTATGATGGGGTCAGAGGTCAGCCCAAATCTGAAGCCTCACCCATTTCTGCATGGGGGTAGGGATGGCAGGGTGGACACCCCAGGAGAGAACACCTGATCTCCCCCTTGCTCGCCCCCATTCCCCATCCAGAAGGCCAGGGGGAGGCCACCAAAGCCTGAAATCTCTTGAACCCAAACCCACTGATAGTGTAAAAGCTGGAAATTTGCAAAACCAAGCATTGGAGTCTGGTCTGGGAGTGTAATTTATCATGTATTAAACAAACTGACTGGTTATTAGAAGCAGTTTGGTAATAAGGTACCCTAAGCCCTCACTTGCCCTCAGAGTCCCCTACCCCCACCCCTCCACCTCCCAGAAACCCTCAGCATGCCCACACCAGGGCCTCCCCACACGCCCACAGCACTCACACGCCTGCACACACCCGACACGCTCCTAGGCCTGGGCCAGCAGGGACCCCTACATCCTTCCGTCCCTCCCCAAGGCTAGCATCTGCTCACATTTACCAGGCAGGTGCGGACACAGCCGTGCCCAGAAACTGCTCCCAGGAGCCAGGCTGCTCATTGACCTGCAGCAGGGAGGGCACAGCCCCTCATTTCAAGGACCAGCAGGGCAGGCTCTGGGTCTCCCCACCTCCCAGAGCCTGTGGGGCTCAAGGGCACTGCCTGGATCTAGACCTCATGGACAAACCTGGCCCTTATTCGTGGCAGCAAGAAGGAGATGAGATGGCAGGACAGAAGTGGGGAGGAGACAGGGAAAAAGAAATAGGAGCACTTAAATTTTTCTTTTTAAGAATTTTTTCTAATATTTATTTATTTATTTGGCTGTTGCAGCCGAATAGTTGCAGCACGCAGGATCTTCGTAGAGGCACTGGGGATCTTTGGTTGCAGCGCACAGGCTCAGTAGTTGTGGCGCACAGGCTTAGTTGCCCCGAGACATGTGGAATCTTAGTTCCCCAACCAGGGATGGAACCCGCATCCCCTGCATTAGAAGGCAGATTCTTAACCACTGGACCACCAAGGAGGTCCCAGGAGCACTTAAATTTAGTGCTGTTCTGCCTGAGCTGACCTGCCTGGGTGGTGCATGAGCTCCCCCCACCACCATGGGGGATGGAGCAGTCCATCCATAGACCTGTCCACCCAAGAGAGGAAAAGTATCCAGTTCAGAATGTTCTGGAGGTCTCCCACCACTAACCCCAAAGGCTGAGAGGGAGGACCCTGTCTCTACCCCCAAGTATGTGCACAGGTCTTTCTCAGATGCTCCAAGAATCTGTGTGCTTGACAGCTGGCTGGTGCCCAGGGCCCCTCTCCTATGCACAGACCCTGTAAGGGACCCTTTCTCGCTTCTCAGCCCTCATCCCACACCACTAGAATGCACACATCCAGTGCCTTAGAGGATGGGGTAGGCAGTGCCCAGAATGGAGGGATCTAGCCCAGTGATTGTGACCTCAGCCAGAGGTGATACACACACCCCAAATCCTGTGAGAACTCACGGGGAGGGCAGGGGTGAGGGAGAGGAAAATCTGGGAGCCCAGTGTGGGAGCCGGAGAGACTCATGAGGAGGGGTCTGGGCAGGGGTCAGGGAAAGACACGTTAGAGAAATTAAGACAGAAAACAGCCTCCTGGCTTGCCTGCTCAGCCTGGCGGCGGCTCCTCCTGCAATGCAGCCCTAATTGAATTTCTCTGTTAACAATGGAAACACCAGCCTCTCTCCCTCTTTCTGATAAGCCAATGACTCAAGGGAAATTGGGGTCAGGAGGAGGAAAAATTGGAAACAGTCTTTTCTTACTCCTGGGGACACTGTTTTGTCTGAGGGCCAGGGGCCTGGAGGAGGACTGGTATTCCCCCTCCTGGGTCCTCAGAAATCTGGACCCTCCCCAGATGCCCCACACCTGGTTCTGGGTGTGGCAGACATGGGGGGACTGTGTCCATCCTTGAGAGGTGTTTCCTCCAGCCCAGTCCATTCAGGGTAGAGAGGGTCCCGGCCACCCATCACAGGCCAGCTTCCCCTCTGTGAGCTGCCCCCTCCCCCTCGCCAACATTTCTCCCTGTGGGATGGGCACCCCCAGCACCCTCCTCCGGTGAACCCTGAGCATGCCTTGGATTCTGAGCACTCTGAACATACTCTGGATTCAGACAGCAGACAGCCCTGGACGCCTATGGCAAGTCACTGCCTCTCTGAGCCTCTGTTTCCTCATCCATGGAGTGGGAGCAATACCTCCAAGAGAGCAGACTGAAAAAGATAAGCCAGCACATGGGAAACCCTTGCTAAGCCCCAGGGGTCTATTATCATACAACATAATCACTGTAATTATCTTGTTAATAGCTGTTATTATATTATCACGCATCAGGATGTACCTACTAATCCCAGGAGGTGAGCCAGATCGCTCCTTACCCTTCTTTTTACCCACAAAGGTCCCAGGGCTAGCCTATCTGCCCCACCTTCTCTGCCAGCCCCTGTTGCCCAAAGCTCCTCTGTGCCCTTGTCTCTGAAACAACAGGAAGCCCCTGTAGTGTTATTTTTGTAAGTGACTCCAGGGAGACAGGCCTTGGGTAACAAAGGGTAACAAAGTATAATGAATGGAAGTGCTAAGCACCCGCTCTTGACCTTCAGGTGATATAAAGGGACTCCCACTGAGCCCCGCAGTTTTCCCTCCAGGCAGAGCATTGCCCCCAGAGTCCGTCCGCTCTCCTGCTGAGCAGAGGGAGAACTATGGTGGTGCAGGGGCCAGGCAGGGGACTGGACAGAGAGGCCTGGGGGCTAGGCATGGCCCCGGCCCTTGCTACCCACCCCTCCACCCTCAGGACTGCCTGCCATGGAGGTCCGCATCAATGTCTCGAGGCAGCAGGTGGAGAAGGTGTTTGGGCTGGAGGAGTACTGGTGCCAGTGCGTGGCGTGGAGCTCCTCAGGCACCACCAAGAGTCAGAAGGCCTACATCCGCATTGCCTGTGAGTCCAGGGCGGAGGTGGCCCTAGGGTGTCACTGGGGGAGGAGGTCTCATCAGAAATCCTCAGATCCTGCCTTGATGGGTGGAGGGAGTGCCTATGGACGCTGCCCAGCCACCCCCATGTCCCCCTGGGCACTTGACACTTCCTTCTGGCATGTGCCATGTCCCCTGCAGGACCAGGGGACAGGGTCAGCCAGGCTGACCTGGCGTGAGGCACTCAGCCTGGAGGACACTCTTGTTCTTCCCCCAGATTTGCGCAAGAACTTTGAGCAGGAGCCGCTGGCCAAGGAGGTGTCCCTGGAGCAGGGCATCGTGCTGCCCTGCCGCCCGCCAGAGGGCATCCCCCCAGCTGAGGTGAGCAGGGCTCCAGTGCCACTCCACAGGTGGGCAGTGCTCCCAGGTCCCGAGTCCCGCCTGCCCACCCCTCCAGGCTGATCCCCCACCCCAGGGGCCACTCTCGCTCCGGGCAGGGCCAGCATAGTCAGGTAGTGCAGTGGCATGGCTCCCTCCCCCAGGTGGAGTGGCTCCGGAACGAGGACCTGGTGGACCCATCCCTGGACCCCAATGTGTACATCACGCGGGAGCATAGCCTGGTGGTGCGACAGGCCCGCCTGGCCGACACGGCCAACTACACCTGCGTGGCCAAGAACATCGTAGCTCGTCGCCGCAGCGCCTCCGCTGCTGTCATCGTCTACGGTGGGCCCCGGTGCTGGTGGGGCAGAAGGGCTCCGGGCATAGGAGAGGCGTTGGGGCTGCCTTCAGGGCAACCACATGTGGCTGGCTCCCTGCAGAGCCAGGACCAGGCAAGCCAAACCGTGGCCTGACTGGGAAGGACAGGGAGAGGGCTTACTGTGGCTGTCAGGGAGCCAAGGGCATATCTGGGTGGAGATGGGGGGCAGGTTGGTGGTCATCTGTGGCTGGACCATCCCTTGGCTTACTTGTGGGCAGGAGGCCATTGTGCAGAAGGAGATGAGTGGACAGGATGGGAGTCTAGGAAAGTGACAGACCACAGCCTGTACTCCTGTGCCCCCGGGGCAGGAAGTAGAGCGACCTGGGCACCCCCAGGAGCAAAAGAGGGAGGGGTGCAGGAGTAACCCCCGTGAAAGGCTGGGGTTTGGGTTGGAGGAACATGGGAGTTGTAGCTAGAGCTGGTGCCCACGGGGAGAAGGGGCTGTGGAGCGGGTGCTGCCAGGCCCTGGGGGCAATGGGCAGAAGCATGGTCTCCCCTCCAGGGCCTCTCTCTCAACACAGCTGCAGCCTGCCCGTTTCCAGCTCACAGCCCCTCTGTCCTCCTGCCCTGGCCCCTGGGCCAGTGTGTCTGAGGAAGCCCCCGCTCCCTGACCCCAGTCCTTCTCTGTCCGGCCAGTGAACGGTGGGTGGTCGACGTGGACCGAGTGGTCCGTCTGCAGCGCCAGCTGTGGGCGCGGCTGGCAGAAAAGGAGCCGGAGCTGCACCAACCCGGCGCCTCTCAACGGGGGCGCCTTCTGTGAGGGGCAGAATGTCCAGAAAACAGCCTGCGCCACCCTGTGCCCAGGTACCAGCGGCTGCCGCCTCCCGCATCGCTCTTCACCACGCCATCTCCGTGCCCTGGCTCCATCGTGCCCACCAGCCTGCTCCCCATGGCTCCATCCCACCCGCCCGCACGCAGGGCCAGGCTCACAGTCTGAGGCCAGGATGGGTTTCAGTGTGATCGGAGGCAGGGCTCAGTCTGTGTCCAGTCTCAGCCTCAGCAGAGGGGCTGAGTCACAGGATCTAAGGTGCAGTCAGGACAGGTACAGTCAGTGTGGGGCAGGCCCCAGCCTGGTGCTGCAGAACCACCTGTGCCTGGGATCAGAGGGTCATTGTGCGACCAAGTGCCCTCACTGCGCCCCAGGGCCAGGATGGCCCCCGGTGTGGGTAGAACCAAGCAGGCCCAGCGTCATCGTGCCTTTTGTCATTAGCATGCATCATCCAGGCCCGCTGGACACCAGAGGGCTTGCAGCCTGGCAGGCTTGGCCCTAGCCCTGACATTGCACCAGGTCCGGACTCCCAGCGGGGCCACACTGGCAGATGGCCTGGACTGGCTCCCTGGGCTGACCACGCCATCTCTTCTCTGTCCATGTCTGTCTCGCATCTAGTGGATGGCAGCTGGAGCCCGTGGAGCAAGTGGTCGGCCTGTGGGCTCGACTGCACCCACTGGCGGAGCCGTGAGTGCTCTGACCCAGCACCCCGCAACGGAGGTGAGGAGTGCCGAGGCACTGACCTGGACACCCGCAATTGTACCAGTGACCTCTGCGTGCACAGTGAGTCCTCTCCGCCCGGGAGTCCTCTTGAGTTTGCCAGGATTGGCCCGGCCCTGCCCCGGGGAGGTGGTGGCTAAGGGATCAGTCCCCTGCCACAGGCTGCACCCCCTATTCAAAGCTCAGGACCTTGGGGAACCCCATCCCTAACACACCCAACATGTGCCCACATATACCGCAATACCTCCCATACCTGCCCTGAGACATGCATACATTTGGAGATTTTACTGTGCACACCTGGCCTCTGGGATCATCTCCCAACCCCCTTCTTGTCTTCTCCTGCAGTTTTACCTCCCCCAAGTGCACACACAAGTCCTGTGGGGACACCAGACTTGTGAGGCCTGTTAATTACAAGGCCATAACTAACAATTAAAGATCTCTGTTGGATTTTGTCTCTAGAACACAGCCTCCCCCATTCTTTCAATTAAAAACCTGATTATCTGTGTCAATTCCTTTCTGATGGACATTTCTTCCATTATGCAAAGCCCTTCTAAAATCAATATAGTTTCCTCCAGACAGTCAATCACTCTCTCCTCAGCCCTGCCTCAGGCCTGTGGGAGGCAGACAAGGAGAAGAGCCCTAGCACCCCTGCTCCTGGCCCAGGGACTGGCCAGGAGCCAGAATGGCAGACCACCCCCCGCCACCTCCCCAGAAAGCAGATCCCCTGCTTTGGGGATCCTAGGAGCTCACCCTCAGTCTCAGCTGCCCTGGGCCCCAGAAGAGCAGGTTCAGCCTAGCAGCCTGGTTCCAGGCCACCCAGGAAAGTGGCTCTTCCCCTCCTCCATTCTCCATCAGCAGCAACTTCAACATGAATTGAGCTCACGAGGGTTGCAATTTGCTCAGAGAGACACAGCAAGGTGGTGGCAGATGCAGGACTGGAATGCATGTGTGCCGATTCCATGCTCCCTGCTGCCAGCGTCTGCTGCTCCACTGGTGCTGATGCCCAAGAAGTGGAGGCCTCATCCTCCTGGGGTGTAGACCGCTGACCTCTCCTTCCTGGCCTCCCGCACCCTACCCCTCCCAAGCCTGCACTCTCTCCCACAGCTGCTTCCGGCCCAGAGGATGTGGCCCTCTATGTGGGCCTCATAGCCGTGGCCGTGTGCCTCCTCCTGCTGCTGCTCGTCCTTATTCTTGTGTACTGCCGCAAGAAGGAGGGACTGGACTCGGATGTGGCCGACTCATCAATTCTCACCTCAGGCTTCCAGCCCGTCAGCATCAAGCCCAGCAAAGCAGGTGGGGCGCCCCTGTCCCCAGCACTCGTGCCGGGCCCCCATGCCAAGGGCCGCCCAGACAGGGCTGCCCCCCGTGCCACTCTCTAAGTCTGTCTGATCCTTGCAGACAATCCCCATCTGCTCACCATCCAGCCAGACCTCAGCACCACTACGACCACCTACCAGGGCAGTCTGTGTCCCCGGCAAGATGGGCCCAGCCCCAAGTTCCAGCTCACCAACGGGCACCTGCTCAGCCCGCTGGGTGGCGGCCGCCACACGCTGCACCACAGCTCACCCACCTCCGAGGCTGAGGACTTCGTCTCCCGCCTCTCCACCCAGAATTACTTCCGCTCCCTGCCCCGCGGCTCCAGCAACATGGCGTATGGGACCTTCAACTTCCTTGGGGGCCGGCTGATGATCCCTAATACAGGTGGGAAGGACCCTACAGTGCCCCAGGGAGCTCTAAGAGACAAGACTAGTATGTGTCCCTCCTGGAGGAGGACGGGACTGGGACAGCCTTGATGTTCCTCCTATGCCTCTCAGCCTCACCCCGAGGGCTGAGCCAGCCCAGCAAGGAAAGAGGATAGAGTTTTGGAGAGGATCCAGTCTTGGCTGGCAGTGGGGCTGGCACTGAGGCTGAGGCCAGAGCTATCTCCCTCTGTTGCCCAAGGACACAGGACTACTGTCCATTCATTTACACAGCCAACCAGCCTGTGTGTGCCGGGCCCTAGGCCCCAGGGATCTGGGGAACTAGTGGAGAGACAGCAGAGGAAAAATGCCTGGACAGGGGCTCCTCCACCTACCACCTCACTGAGACCCCTGGGACAGGGTCTCAGAGACACCTTCATAGAGAATCCGAGACCCTTTCGATGGTCATCTTTCGGGAAAGCGCCACAGCCTCTGGTGTGGCTCCCCTCTCCCACCCTAAAATTCTCTATTTCCTCGGTTTAGGTGACCCCACATGGCCCTGACTTCCTTGTTCCTCTGCAGCTGCTCCTGGTGCCTGCTCCCTAAATGTAGGTGTTCCTCAGAGCACGCCCCCCACCCCTGACCCTGGAGCCCTCTTCCCAAGTGATCTCACCCACTCCATGGCTTTAATCGCCATGTCTTTGCAGATCACTCCCATTCCTCCATCCTCAGCCACAGTTCTCCTGGGTGACAGAATCGTACACCCAGCTGCCTCCTGGACAGCTCCATCTGGATGTCTCACAGCACCTCAGATTCCTCATGCCTAAAACAGCACCGTCTCCCACCCTCCCCCAGAACCTCCTCCTTTCCAGTTTTCTCTTCCTCAGGCATGGCACAGTCGAGTTGCTCAAGACAGAAACTAGGGGTCACCTTGGCCCCCTGCCCTTCTTCACTTTCCCCCCTCACCTTCACACCAGCTTCATTCACACACTGATCCCATCATTCTTTCTCCTCAAATGCTCCTGCATCCTCCTGCTTGTCTTTCCTGCTGCCTCTCCTGGGCTAGGCCACCACACCTACCTCTCATCTGAGTCACAGCTCCAAGCATTTACTCACTAGAGCCACACTTGATCATGTCCCTTTCTGGGGCTTCCATTTTTCCCTTCGAAGCCCACATGACAAAACCACAAGGACTCATCCCCTGTGGCCAGCTGCAGTGGCCTCTCCTCCCATGCACATTTCTCCTGCACTTGGCAGCCACGGTGGGCTCTCATGAACCCAAATACACTGGGCTGCCCTTTGTACATGCCGTCTCTCTGCCCCCATCCACTAGCTTAACTGCTACTTCTCCTTCGGGTCTGGTAGCTCTCCCTTTATGCCTCGTGTCCCCCTCACACGGCTGCTAAGATGATGAGGTGAGATGGTCCATGTCAAGCTCTTAGAAAAAGGCAGGCGTACAGTGGGCGCTCAGTGACCACGCACCCTTCACTCCCCTGGTGGAGCGAATGGCCAGGTGGGCTGTGCTCCACCCTGCTCTCCCCCAACACCCAGCATCCTTTGCTGCCGTCCACTTATCTGTCTCCCCGCGGACTGAATGCTTCATGAGAGCAGGGCTCATGGTTTTCCCCACCTTCCTGAGTACTCAGCATTAGCATTCACTGAATGAGTATTTGAGTGAGGGTACCCCCGCCACAGAGAGCATTCACACATGGATCACCGAGACTATCACCAACCCTGGCAGCCGGTACCAGGAGGCAGCACAGGATAGTGAAGGGAGCAGTAGCTGCAAATACACCACCACTGGCTTCCCTCTCTCTCCTGGGCTTCAGTTGCTGGGAAGTTGTGATATTGCAGCCACCCCACCTCAGAGCTGCCCACCCTGGAGAGCATGCATATGCTTTTGGACTTGGTGGGATAGCCATAGAATTTCTTCCCCTCTCCCTGTCATGAGCCTCTGAGGCCCCTCCTGATATAGGGGCTCCCTGTCCTAAAAGGACAGGAAGGTGGGGCAGGACCGCTCCTTGCCATCCCCAGAGTGAATCCCCAGCCCCTGGCCTCACCGTGGCCTGCCCCCTGCCTCTCCCCTGGAACCACCTCTCCCCCAGCAGATGCTTTCTGATGCTGCCCCTGCAAGACGCTGAGACAAAGGCGAATCAGCCAGACAGGACGTGTGTGCAATGGCACCCAGACTAGGGAGGGCTACCAAAGTAGGCAAGATTGTTAAAGGCCCCAGCCCCACCTGCAGGGGGCCACGGCCCAACAGGGAGCAAAGTCACCAGAGGGGGGGTGCCCACCCAGAGGTGGCCAAGCCGAGGGAGAGAGGAGGAACTTGAGCAGGCCAGGAGGGTGGAGCACTCAGAGGCACACTTAGGGTGGTGGCTCCAGAACAGCCAAGTACGCAGCACAGGCTAGGCCCACAGGCCAAGGGCCTTAAATATCCAGCCAAGGAGCTGGACTTTACCCTGGAAGCAGGGACGGTTTTAAGTGGATGATGGGGCAGGTAGGTACAGTGTACCTGGGGGTTCCAGAGTTTTCTGTGCCCAAGCTAACTAGGCAAGCATTTCCCACCTGAGTTCCCTCAGCCACTCTTGGGGTCTCCCTGACTCAGCTTCATGCCTGTGCGGGTGGTTGGCCAGCCTGATAGTGGCACTTCTGTTCCCAGGCCAGGCTGGCGCCAGTCAGTCCTCAGAGGGAGGCTCAGGGAGGGACTGGCGGAGTGAGGTGTTTGGTGTCTTTGCAGCCCTGGTAAGCCCCGGCTGTCCCCCTGCTCTGTCACAGGCATCAGCCTCCTCATCCCTCCAGACGCCATACCCCGAGGAAAGATCTACGAGATCTACCTCACACTGCACAAGCCGGAAGATGTGAGGTGTGGACGTGGGCCCTGCTGCTGGGACTGGGCGGGTCCTGTCCTTTCCTGCTGTCACCGTGACGGCCCTGCCCACCCCACTATTGGGCCTGGTCTGGCCTGGCCTGAGGGAGGGCAGGGGAAGAGGGGCTCCTAAGCTCCACCCAGCTCCACAGCCCCTAACCCCAGGGTCCCAGGGTGGCCCACTGATGCCTTTCCCTTCCCACCCATATTTCCCCACTTGAGGTTGCCCCTAGCCGGCTGTCAGACCCTGCTGAGTCCCATCGTTAGCTGTGGGCCCCCCGGAGTCCTGCTCACCCGGCCAGTCATCCTCGCCATGGACCACTGTGGGGAGCCCAGCCCCGAGAGCTGGAGCCTGCACCTCAAAAAGCAGTCCTGCGAAGGCAGCTGGGAGGTGAGCCCCAAGCCTCCTCCCCATCCCCC